GGCTCTATGGGTGAAAGCTACCTATAGATGAAAAGCCATCATACCTTAATAATTAATCTTCAAAGAATTTGAGGAAGAAGCCTTGAATTCTCCAAACCCTAGCTCCAATTATACTCTTCTTCTTCTTGGAGTTTTAGAAAGAGAAATATTGTGAGGAAGAAGAATTTTTTGATTTGATTTGGGTCTTGAGGGTTAATGAATAAAATGGGGTGGTTTATGACTTAAAATAGTTTATATATGTATATAAAGTCCATATAAAATAACCCCCCCCCCCTTAAAACCAACTAAAAAGGAATTTACCAAAAAGACCCTCCTTAGGCAGCCCACTCCCAAGCACCACGACAGGGCTCACGAGCCGTGGTCTTGCCTGTGGTCCTTGGGCAGTGGCTAATCTTTGGTGCCTTGGCCTCCACAATGCTAAGGCATGACCATGAGCCTTCCCACGAGTCGTGGTCATGACCACTGGTCGTGAAGTGGCTCGTGGTCCTTAGGCAGTAGCTTGGCCTCAATGCCTTGCCTTCCACAATTCTAAGGGAGCTTCACGAGACCTCTCACGAACCGTGGTCAAGACCACTGGTCGTGAAGGTGGTCGTGAACTTGGGCAGTGTTTGGCCAAGGTTGGGGCAGCCTTGGCCTTTGGCTTAGGATTTGCCCCTTTTGCCTAGGCACTTTCCCTTGCAACCCTCAATTAAACCCTATATGGTCTATTAAATTATGGGGTCTAACACGTACCTTGACGTTTAACCCCAAACCCCTCATTCTAAGCATGGGAAGTCTTATCTATATCCTTAACTCTCATATCAAACTCTAGAACCCTAACTTGAGGGTCTAGTTTAGTCTACTAGTTTTCCGGAGTGTTACAGTGGCCCTCTTTAACCTTTTGTTAAGTATATTGAACCTTGTATGTCTTGTTGTGTAATTGGGAGTAATGGGGAATGGTAAAGGTCTTCTTATATTATACTTGTTATTAAACATTGACCGAATATTTGTAATGATCATGTGGGGGGAAATGAATTGGTAGATATAATACTGTGTGATGTGTCACGAGTAGCTTGAATGATTATCTTGACTCACTTTTAATAATGTGCCATAATTGTGTGTGTGGATTGGTTATTGATGTGGAATTTATCATCTTCTTATTATACATATGAACATGCTTATTTTCATTGAATCTGAAACACTATTGTGAGATTTGAATTCGTGATATGTTGATGGAAAATGGTTCCGGCGATTGATGTTTATGCTTATGGAAAATGATTCCGGCGATTGATGTTTATGCCGATGAAAAATGATTTCGGCAATTGATGTTTATACCGATGAACAATGAATCCAACGAATGCATGGACTAATATATCTGTTATGGGTCTTGAGCTTCTAGTCAGCAGTTGTGCAGTGAATGCATGGACATATAGGTCCTCCATGTGTCCTGGGATATTAGTCAGCAAGTGTGTATCAACAGAACAGACGTGTTTCATTCTATATGACATTACATTGCATTATTTTCACACCTCATTGTCATTCTTGTCTTTTATGAGTGAGTTGTTCTATTTTAGTGGCTATCTAGATATGACAGGTTGTGATGATATTATGGAGACTCTGATATGTGAATAACGGTGTATTACATGTAACGTGTTGCTCCATTACTTGTGAAACTGTTAGGATGAGTTGGTTCTAAATTCTATGGAGATTGTAGTTTGAGGAGGTTCAGAAGGTGTGACGGGGTGCTTGTGTTCGATATCACTTTACTTAGGGTTAGCTAGGAATGCTTGTTGAGTACAGTTATTGTTTGGTACTTACTCCCTTGCTTTCCACACCTGTGTAGGTTACGAGTCTGGATCATCCTCTCGCATCTTCATTCAAGACTTGCCTTTGGAGTTCGTGATCATCTCAACAGTTATCACATACTCTTGATGATGTCTTTCTACTATCCCATTATTGTAGACTTGTACTTCTTTTGAATCTGTTGTATTATTTAGAGGCTTGTACACGTGACACATCGTTTTGGGGGAAGTTGTGTTATATTAAAAGTTTTGCATTATTATGTTATGTTTAGTTCTTGATTTCTTTCTTACTTCTGTTATTGCCCTTGCCAAGGATTGTTTAAGTTGACCTGTATTGGTGGGATAAGGCAGATGTCATCACACCTGACCTTTGGATCGTGATAAGGATGAAATCAAACCATCCCCTAAGGGCACAAATACCTTATTTAAGGACTAGGAATTGAACTACAGAAGTAGGAAATCGAAATGCTCACCTTTAAGAAGATTCTTGGAGTTTTTAAGGAAGGACAAGCAAAAAGAGTACATTTGATCCAAAAACTTCAATTGAAATGTGTTAAACCTTTGGGGTGTAAAAAGTGATTTTGTAAATCCGGAGTTAAAAAAATTGGTCTGGGTGAGCCTTTTGTTTAACAACAATGGCATAGATGAGTCAATTTTTTAACGGATGACGTAAATAAGCATTTTCAAAAAGTTCGATGACATATTTGAGTTTTTTTTCTTTAATAAAAGACAAACGGTTCAATTAACATTTGTAAGGACCTACATGCTTATAATATTGTATAAAATAATATAGATATAAATAGATAGATTATTTATATTTATCACATTATAGGAACTTTTTTGGTAATTTTTGTTCAGCTAGGATATGATTTTTAAATGTTATTTATACAAATTTTAATTTTCTTTTAATAATGATTAAGGATTCACATGCAGTCCACATACTTAAAAGCTTCAACAAATAATAAAATCACAACTTTTTGAACCTTTCAAGATTTTCCTATTATCCCAATTTGTTGGTCCCAATCCAAAAGTATGTGTAAAATTAGAGATTAATTCAATAAGGTCAAACACATATGTAAAATTAGAGACTAAATTCAATAAGGTCAAACACATATGTAGACCCTTAAACTTGTTCTTAAATTTCATTTTGGCACTCCAACTCAACCTTATTCCATTTTAACCCTTTAACTCCAATTTTTATGTTCCATTTTGGCACTTCTTTCCAAAGAATCAACAAAGTGGGATGTGTGTACTCCACATGTCATTATTGTGTGAAAAAATAATGGATGAACATCATTTTTAAAAAAAAATATATTTTTTAGAGTTTCTGTACATTATTGTGTGAAAAAATAATCGACGAAAGTGTATTGTTTTTTTTTAAAAATAATTAATTAAATTAAATAACACCACATATTTTTTTTTTCATATCTAGTCTATTTGGACTAACTCAAATATCAGTTTTCTAATTTTTCATTCAACTAAATACGAGTAAAAAACAAACTCATGTTCATTGCTAATTAATAACACTACAAAAAACTATTGAAACTCGATAGACTTCATTGGGTTGTCATTGATTTTCTTAAGAAAGAAAATCGACATACTTTCGTCGGTTATTTTTCACGTAAAAATATAAGAAAACTCTTAAAATGAAATTGTTACTTTTTTTTATTAAAAAAAAAATCAATGATCGTCCATCAATTTTAATTTTTTACAATAACTAACGGATGAATGCCAATTTTTAAAATGCAAAATTGCAGTTGAATAATATATATAGAAATAAAGAAATCATAAAATTAGTATTTTGTGTTAAATGGAACATAAAAGAAATAGAGTTGAAGGATAATCTTTTATTATTTTTTTTAAAAAATACTTTTTTTTTCTTTTACTCTCTTAGAGAAAGTGTGATGCACACACTCTGTCACATCACTTAGAAGTGTCAAAATGGAACATAAAAATTGGAGTTGAAGAGTTAAAATGGAACAAGGTTGAGTTGAAGTGTCAAAATGAAATTTAGAGATAAGTTTAAGGGTCTTCATATGTGTTTGTCCATTCAATAAAAAACAAATAGTATAGTGGCTACAACTTTTTGACTTTTTTTTTCCCTTTGGCAATTTCCACCAAAAAAAACGCGGAATCTATTTGAACCACTTGAGCTTTTTAATCCACTAGGATTTGTCTACACACTAAATTTTTTATTTTATTTAGAGGTGTCCAATGAACGAGTGATCTAAATTTAAAAATAGATCACGTTAATTTGAATTTGATCATATTAAAATAAATTAATATAAACAAATGAATTATTGATCCATTCTAAAAATATTTAAATTAAAATACATTAAATGTGGGTCGTGGAAAATGCTCCTCCAGTATCAAAATATGGATTATTGATAACCATAACATTTGCTCTTTTCTGTAAATTCAATAAAATAAACAAATAGTAGTGCGATATTTTGCCTTCGTTTTGACAATTTCCACATTGGGTACAACGTGGAGCTTGTTGAACCTCTTGAGCTTCTTGATCCATTTGCACCGTTTCCTTATAAATTGAGCCGGTGTAAGGGTGTGTTTGGTACTAAGGAAATATGGAAAATATTTGACTTTTGGCTCAAAAGTTTTTTAAATTATCTCATTATTTTCAAATTTAAGGAAAATAATTTTCCTTCAAAAATTAAGAAAAACATTTTTGAAAACTTTACTTCATCTTGTTGGATTTATAGTCGTTATTCTTTTATCAATTGACCTAGTCTTTAGGAGTTTTGATTTTTTTTTTGATTGTAGTAGTTTGCAGGTTGTTCTGTTTTTAAGGAATTAGTGCAGTAAAGTGTTATAGTTGCTTTAGGAGTCATGTGCTCTATTTTAGGAGTAATTTGATAATGGGACTGATATGTGTCCTATTTAATTGATTATTCTGTTAAGTATTTGCCTATTTATAGGCTTGAAGTCATGAATAAAAAGATGAAGTGTTTTTCAGCAAATTACTTTCTCTCCTTACGTATCTTTTTATTTCTCCTTCACAATTATTTTTCTAAGGAGTAATTTTTAATCTCAAGCCAAATATTAAAGAAATTTTCTGAAAAATATATTTTTCATTCACCAACCAAACATTAAAAAATATTTTATACTCACCAATCAAAAAATAAGTTAGAAATCCACTTATTTTTCAAGAAGACATTTTCCTTTATACCAAACACACCCTAAATAAATGTCATGGTATTTTAATACTACTATTTAGTTACTTACTACTGTGATATAAATGGAGAATTATGGATGGTTGAACAAATAGTAGTAACTCGACGACTTTTGGACAGTTGATCCACAACTTTGCTTATATAAGTAGCAGAGCGACGGGGCAAAGGCACTGAAATTGTATTGTATATAGTATGGACCATGAGCAACCTTCAGATGTATGTGACCTAATGCCTTGTAAATTGAAGTGGTCTCAACTGACGTCCATTGACGATTCCTGGGTATTTTGGAGCACAAAACAGAACGACGAGTTGGACTACCAGCAATCCATTATTAAGTCCATCAATTGTGAGTGAGTCTGTTGTGAATATTTTCCAAATTTTGTTTAGCACTAATCTTATCATCTTTTTGATTCAGCTTATTCTGTCGTTTCCATCTGTCCAACTGAGAAATCGAGGATCCAATCTGTTATGGAGAAAATGTCGACTTCAAATATTTCTCTGTTTCAATTCTGGGCACCCATCAAGGTCAATGGATCTACTTTCCTGTCCACTGCGGATCAACCATTTGTTTTCTATAAGAAACTTGATAAGAGGCTCTCTTCATACAGGAAGCTCTGTTTAGATACTTTGATTCCCATTGACAACGAAATTCCATTTGGTCCCCCTGCACGAGTTTTCTCAAAACTCTTGCCAGAATATAACCCTGACGTCTCAAGCTACTCCCCTGCAGAGTTTCCACTGCCTCAAACTGCAATTCCCTTGGATTCTTATTGTGCATTTCCAGTGTTCAACATTCATGATCAGCAGTGCCTTGGTGTATTTGAGATTGTATCTACACTACCAGATTTCCGTCGTCTCAACATTATTAAGGTATTTGCTCAACGACATTGGTTATTCACTTTTGTTTATATTCCTTTTGAACAATTCCATAATCCTTGTTTAATTTTCCATAATAGGGGTTGAATTTCGAACCAGTTGGGTTCTACATTCCTTACTCAATAAACAAACTTTTTGAACCTCCAGAGGTAAGGTATTGCTGCCTATTTTATTTTGGCGAAACTAAACAAAATAAATTAAAGTAAGAAAAAAGAGATCAGTCCCACTAATTTCATAACTTATCTTATCATTTTTATAGCCGCTGTTTTGTGATATAAAGGACGGGATATCTAGGATCCGTAAAGATAGGCGGATTCCCTTTGCACAAATTTGGATTCCTTTTTCCCAATCTGCCTCTTCGAAAGTCTTGTATCGTGCTGCTGCCTCCACATATGAATATTTCAGTTTAATGTATCATGAATTTGAATATGCTTCTAAGGTCTATTTTATTAAGAGCGGTGAGGCATTGGTGGGGAGGGCATTTGCATCCCAAGGTTCATGCTTTTGCAAAGATGTTACTCTATTAAGCATCGAAGAGTACCCTTTGGTGCCTGGTGCACGAAAAGCTAGATTCACTCAGAGTTTTGCAATTTGTTTGCAAAGTAGATGCTCCCCCAATATTGTTTGCGTAGTTGAGTACTTTCTGCCACGACGCAAAATGGCTGTTAGAGATACAAAGACTTTCTTAAACATGCTTTTAACCACAATGAAAGAACAACTTCCAGGTTTCACAGTTGCTTCTGGAAATGAACTAGGGCAGAGGATGCTTGTTGAAGTTGTTAAAGTTTCCCCGAGTGATGAACTTGACTCCTTTGAAATTGGCCAAACTCTGCCGAGTGTTCAAGCACTTCAGGATGGAGGAGAAACAACAGAAATTGATTCTTTCTGTCAACAGTCAAATTTACAGAACAGGGAGAATAATGTTGCTGCTGCACTACTAGTTCCTTCTTGTTCATCAGACAAGCGTGACTCACTCAACTGTGAAGGGACAGTGGAAGTTGATCCGTCACTGCCTCATCCAATAGAGGAAGCTGTGACAAACAGAGGAACCGTTAACATGGATGTAGCACATGATGACCACATTGAGGATACAACTGAAATAATGCAACTTGATTCACACTTTGAGCAACCAAATTTAGAGACTAATTCTTCAGGAAATGCAACAACTAACAACGAGATAATTCATTCGCATAAGAAAAACGCAATACAAAGGATAGAAAAAGATCATGGGATTACTTGCAAGATTCTGGAGCAGCATTATGGCATGACTCTTGAAGGTACTGCGACAGATTTTAGCGCATCTGAAATGATTTATGCATAGGTTCACTGAAATCCCTTTTGTGGACTTCATTTATTGCAGTTAGTCGAGCAACACTGAAACGAATATGTAGAGAAAATGAAATCGCTAGATGGCCACATCATAAGACTAGAAAGGTTAATGTCCATGTTAGCCAAGGCGCATCTTTTCAAGGTGCTGAACCATATGTGGTCGATCAACAATGTCCTGCTCTTTCCCAAGAAAAAGGCACAGATTATTTGGGTCACAAAATATCTCCTGCATCAGGAAAACCTTGTGATAGTGTGATGACTTTAAAGGTTACATATAGAGGTGATATCATAAAGTTTCAACTCCCCTTTTCATCTACGAGGGTAGAATTGGAGGGGGAAGTGGAAAAGAGGCTTAAGATATCACTTGAAAGGTTTTCAATAAAGTATCAAGATGAAGATGACGATTGGATATTGATAACTACTGATTCAGATTTGAGGGATGGGATGCATTCACTAAGATTGTTGGGAAGGACTACTATGAGATTACTGGTTACCTCAGAAGCTGACTCATGAAGGATTTTCCGAAAGTGATGTTATCTTTTGGTGATATGGTGTTTGTCTCTTTCCTGAGGTGTTGTGACATGTCTTTATGCTCAGTGAACCAAGGTGTAATGCTGTTACGAATGGGGAACTGTCAAATTACGAAAGATGCCTATATATAGAAGAGGAAAATAATGAGTTATGTCATTTTCTTTTCATTAGCTATTTTGTATTTTCTGTTTGTTGTTTGATTACATGAACAACCTGTTCGTAAGTTCCTTTGATGATCAATACAGAGCTTAATTTGTTACATTATTGTTCCTACTTCATGCCTCTCTGCCCTGTTACCATGTTCAATTCTGAGTTCAACACCCTCTTTGAATCGGTGAAGGTGATGATGCAAGAGAGTCATTCTAGTATGGGCTCTTCCATTTGCAGTATGCCGTCACCATTGCAGGAAGAGATGAAGTTGTAATTTTTTCTTCACGTAATTATTTATTTTTAAGCTCTCCTTTCATATAGGCTCTAAAATTTTATGGTTATTACTTATTACTAGCATTTTAGTTTTATATTTTGTGCATTTAGATTGTAAAATCTCATTTCCTTTTGACAGAAATAAATGTTTTAAACCATATGTAGGCACTAATTTATGCACATTTGCTTTATTTATCTATAATAATTTTCTTTATATTTATAAGAAAAAAATTCATGACATCTTCACTATTTCAATCAGAAATACTTCGTTTGTTTTAATCACCCATAACCAAGAGTGACTCTTCATTAGAAAATGCAGCTTTACTGTAGTGAACAAAATTCAGATTTTTTGTGTCTTATAGATTCTTATATAGAAACTGAGAATTACACAATGTTTTGAGCATATTTTGTTGTTTCTAAATAATTTTCTTTGAAAAAAAATCGTATATGGGTTGTGTACCAAAGAGCTGAACCACTGCTTGTTCAATCACAAATTGTACTCTGACCCAATTTATATGACTTGCTTTTTTTTTTAAATCAATTTAAAAAAAATGACACATATCTTTATTTAATACTCCCCCAGCCCATAAAATAGTTATTTCATAGTACTTGATCACTTACTAAATCAGGATAGAGTTAATTAATATTTTTCTATTTTATCCCACAATTGATGGGGTCTTTATTTAATACTCCCTCTGTCCCATAAAATAGTTATTCCATATTACTTATCACTTACTAAATCAGGATAGAATTAATTAATTATTTTATCCTTGCGGTGTTTTGGTTTGTAGACTTGACGCATTACGTTTTTTTTAAAAATAAAATAAAATAATTACAGTTTTTTTTTTTTTGGTAACAACTGTAAAAAGATTACCATACCATCAAAACCAGTACAAATAAAGAGTACCTATACCTTGTAACAGGATTAGGCCTCCTACATAGCAAAAAACTTAATTACAAAGTAAAAATTGAACAAAACTCCTACAACTCTGTGTTTTCTTTGAACTACTAAGAAATTGTAATCTCTCTGTAATCTCCTTTTTTATCTGTGTTGCCGCCTCCTTTGTATGTACAGATTTGCCTTTAAACTTTTTCGAATTCCTGGCTCTCCATATGTGATATACGATTGCTCCACAAGTAGCCGCAATAGTCTCCTTCTTAACTTTCTTCCAGTGCTTCAACATTATTCTTTCCAGTGTCTGCTTGATCCCATTGTTTTGCAATGCTATTCCTGTCCATTGTTCCACCTCTTTCCATATAGCCTGTGCCCACTCACACTTCACCAATAAGTGCAGTGTAGTCTCCATGACCTTCTTATCACAAAGGCAGCAATCAGTGTCCTCAACCTGAATGTGTAATTTCAGTTTCCTCTCCTGCGTGAGTAATCTTCCTTGTACAGCCAACCACATTATGAATCTATGTTTAGGTAGAGCCCTAGATGTCCACACTAGCTCAGCAGTTCTCATACGTGGTTGTTGGCCAATTAGTGCTAAGTAACTGCTAGTGATGGAATATTTTCCAGTTTGTGTGAGCATATATCTTCCTTGGTTATACCAACCCTGCATTTGGACCTTGATTGCATTTAGCTTCCTCCAATACCAGCTACAATCTACAGGTGTTCTATGATTCCATATTGTTGCTCCATCTTTCATATATATCTGCATTTGGAGCTTGATTGCATTTAGCTTCCTCCAATACCAGCTACAATCTACAGGTGCTCTATGATTCCATATTGATAGAAATTTTGAAAAACTGTGTAAATGACACGCAGTAGCATTATTGAGAACAAGAAACTGAAAGGGTGTTGTGAATGGCCTATGTTCTGGTTTGTTTGTTTACTTAAAGCGAGGATAAAGAGCCTCAGTGTGTAATGCTGCCTGTTTCTCCAGATTAGCATCTATAAAGGGAAATATCTAAGAACATTTTGAAGGATCCGACATGGGTGCGGCAACATTGAGAGTCCGAGCAACTTAGGTTGTTACAGAGGTGTTGCCATATGATTACTATGTTTCAGACATTTGTGCTCTTCTTTCCACAGACTCAGATTATTTGGTTGAGACTGGATTTGTGCTGTCACGAGCCTGTATATCACATTCATCAATTCTTACAGTGAATTTGTATCCTGCTTTGGTGCTACCTTTCTACAATCTGCAGAGAACATATTCTTATTCTCTTGAGACTGATTGAGATCCCTTCTTCTTTGTGAATCAATTTTCTTTCATCATTTCAGGTCACTTTAGA